TATATGGATACACGGCCCCCAGTGAACGATGACTGATGCCATTGGAGGCTTTCTGCCCTCTACTCTTGTACCTTGGATTGTAGGAAGAATTTAAAGCTCTTGATTAGGGAGGAATTGTACCATACTCTCACACTCTCTTTTTAAAATTCAAATGATTAGGTCCATAGCACTTAAATATTTCAAGTGACTGACAAGCCACCTACACACCTTGGGTTCTATTATTTTTTTCTACTCATTACATGGGCTCATGTTTAAGGGAACATGACTTTAAACAGTTCTACTGTTAGCAGTGCCAATATTCTAAGGTAACTCTGCCATCCTGCAATGACAGAGACATTCCATTTGCAGTCCAATATGGCAGCTACCACCTACATGTGGCCACTGGGAGCTTACAACATGGCTATGTAACTGATTGGAGTAAATTTTTTTGTTGTTGAGAGACTTTTGCTCTCTAAGATGTGTGTACTTGCCAGAGACAGAAAGTGAGAAATCACTCCCCCCAGGCGGGATGGCCATGCCACAATCCCTTCTCCTCCATTCTCCTCTTGGGATTTTGGGCATGCATATGTAAGCGCCTGGCATCAGTTTCAAGCCTCTGGGTCCAGGACTCAAACTGCGGTCAACTACATGGGAGTTCAGTGATATAACCATTACACCATCTGTTGGTCCCCAAGAGAGTAAATTTGAAAACTTTTAAAAAAATGTTTATTTAAGGGAACCAGCAGTTAGCGTAATGGCTATGTCGCTGGACTCCATGTAGTCGACCGTGGTTCGCATCCTGGACCCGGTGGCTTAAAACTCACGCTGGGCGCATGTGCGTGCATGCCCAAGATCCTGAGAGGAGAATGGAGAAGGGATTGCGGCGTGACCATCCCCCCTGGGGGGTGATTTCTCACTTTCTGTCTCTCTGTCTCTGTCTGTCTGGTGAGCGCACGCACCCTATAGCAAAAACCTCTCCAAAAAAAAAAAGTTTATTTAAATTCTTTTTAAATTTATCATTATATTATTATTTTTAATTTGCTACAGAGCATGCACACTCACCAGGCAGAGACAGAGACAGTGAGAAAGAGAAAGTGAGAAAGCAAGCTGCCAGGTATGTGACTTGAACCACAACCAGCTATGTGGGAGTCCAGCACCTTGTCACCTCTTGGTCCCAAATTTCAAAATGTTTTAATGGGGAACCAGCAGTTAGCATAATGGCTATGTCACTGGACTCCCATGTAGTCGACCATGGTTCGCATCCTGGACCCGGTGGCTTAAAACTCATGCCGGGCACGTGTGTGTGTGTCTGAGATCCCAAGAGGAGAATGGAGGAGAAGGGATTGCGGTGTGACCATCCTCCCTGGGGGGAATTTCTCACTTTCTGTCTCTCTGTCTGGCGAGAGCATGCACCCTATAGTGAAAACCTCTCCAAAAAAAAAAAGTTTTAATGAACCTAAATTTAAGTAGTCACAATGACCTCTGGTGGCCCTATTTTTGCATTTGTTCACTTATGGTGGTAATCCTATTGAAAGACTTGAAATGTGATTAAAATGCTAGCTGCTAAACACTTGGTAAAAAAAAAAAAAAAAAAAAAAGGGCCAGTGACTTGGCCCAGGGGCAGTGGTGCAGGTGGTGGGATGCCACTGCATGCTGGAGCCACACACAGGCCAGGGTTTGGGTTCAGTCAACCTAAACATGCCAGGCATAGTGGTACACACCTGTAATAATAGCTAATCAGTAAGCTGAGGTGGGGCCAGCAGGAGGCGTGGTGGTTAAGGTGCTAGACTCCCACGTGGCTGACCATGGCTCCAGTCCCAGACCTGGCGGCTTGAAAATCATGCTGGGCACGTGTGCATGTGTGCCTGAAATGCCAAGAAGACAACAGAGAAGGGATTGAGGTGTGGCCGTCCCCTTGGGGGGGTATATGATTTCTTATTTTCCCTCTCTTTGTCTCACTAGGGAGCATATTTGCCCTATGGTAAATCCTAAAATAAACAAACAAAATATAAAATAAAGACAGCTGGGGTGACGGACCAGGCAGGTGGCATGGTGGTTGAGGCAACTGGATCCTATGTGGCTGACTATGTGGTTCGAGTCCCAGACTGGCAGCTTAAGAGATGCACTGGGATGTGTGTGTGTGCTTGCCCAGGGTCCCAAGAAGAGTATGGAGAAGGAATTGTGACATGGCCAGCCCCCTGGGGGATGATTTCTCACTTTCTCTCCCTTTCCAGTGAGTGCATATGCCCTATAGCAAAAACAAAACAAAACAAAACAAAACAAAACAAAAGCTGGGTTGGGAGGATTGTAGCAAGACCTTGTCAAAAATACCTTTCTTCCCTTCTTTTCCTTTTTCTCTGTAAAAAAAAAAAAATGCCAATGACTTACATTTTTCTTCACTTAGTTTTGCCTACCTTGCTAAATTTCAAGCCAAATCATTTTTTTTATTAAAAGAGGGAAAGGGACATTCATATCCCTCAATAATATTAACAGTATGCTACTTCAGAATTCTCTCAAGGACCTCTTCATTACTGATTGATATATTAT